AATTTCGTTGATTTCCGCTCTGATTTTTATTATTTCTTGCCTTCTGCTACATTTGCTGTTGTTTTGCTCTTCCTTTTCTAGGGCTTTGAGATGAAGTGTGAGCTCATTTATTTGTTGGTTTTTCCTTTTTTTGAGGAATGACCTCCAGGCGATGAATTTCCCTCTTAAAACTGCTTTCATTGTGTCCCATAGATTCCGATATGTTGTGTCTGTATTTTCATTTATCTCTAAGAATTTTTTGATTTCCTCCTTTATGTCTTCTGTAACCCATTGATCATTCAGTAACATATTGTTCATTTTCCATGTGATGTAGGATTTTTCCTTCCTTCTTTTATCATTGATTTCCAGTTTCATTCCATTATGATCAGATAAAATGCATGGTATTATCTCCACCCCTTTATATTTACTGAGGGTTTCCCTATGGCATAATATATGGTCTATTTTTGAGAAGGATTCATGTGCTGCTGAGAAAAAAGTATATCCACTTGATGATGGTTGTTATATTCTACATATGTCAGTTAAGTCTAAGTTATTGATTGTGATATTGAGTTCTATAGTTTCTTTATTCAACTTTTGTTTGGAGGATCTGTCCAATGATGAGAGAGGTGTTTTGAAGTCACCCATAATTATTGTGTTGTGGTCTATTTGATTCTTGAACTTGAGGAGAATTTGTTTTATGAACGTTGCAGCACCATTATTTGGTGCATAAATATTGATAATTGTTATTTCTTGTTGGTGAATGGTTCCTTTTAACAGTATATAATGTCCTTCCTTATCCCTTTTTGATTAACTTAGTCTTGAAGTCGATTTTATTTGATATGAGGATGGCCACCCCTGCTTGCTTACGAGGACCGTGTGCGTGGTATATTTTTTCCTAACCTTTCAGCTTCAGCCTGTGTATGTCTTTTGCAATCAGATGTGTCTCCTGGAGGCAGCATATTGTTGGATTTCTTTTTTTAATCCATGTTACCAGCCTATGTCGCTTTATTGGAGAGTTTAAGCCATTAACGTTTAGAGTTACTATTGATATATGGTTTGTACTTCCAGCCATGTTTGATTATTTATCTTCTTTTTTTTTTTTTTAAATTTAGTTTGTTTCTCCATGATTAGCTTTCCCCCCGCCCTCTGTCTTTACAGAGGCACTTCCCACTGATGGTTTTGGTTATTGTTTTTCATTTCTTCCTCGTGTAGTGTTTTGCTCAAGATGCTTTGCAATGCTGGTTTTCTGGCTGCAAATTCTTTTAGCTTTTGTTTATCATGAAACATTTTAATTTCGTTGTCGTACCTGAAGCTTTTTTTTTTAATAATTTTTATTGTTTAATTTTCGTCAGACACAACATCTTTGTGTGTATGTGGTGCTGAGGATCGAACCCGGGCCGCATGCATACCAGGCGAGCGCACTACCGCTTGAGCCACATCCCCAGCCCCCCTGAAGCTTAATTTTGCTGGATACAGAATTCTTGGTTGGCATCCATTGTCTTTCAGTGTTTGAAATACGTTGTTCCAGGATCTTCTGGCTTTCAGCGTCTGTGATGAAAAATCCGTTGTTAACCTTATTGGTTTACCCCTGAATGTAATATACCTCCTTTCTCTTGTAGCTTTTAGTATTTTCTCTTTGTTCTGTATATTGGATATCTTCATAACAATGTGTCTTGGCGTTGGTCTACTGTGATTTTGTGTGCTCGGTGTCCTATATGCATGTACAATTTGTATATCCGTTTCCTTTTTTATTTCTGGAAAGTTTTCTGTAATTATTTCATTGAGCAGGTTACTCATTCCCTTGGTTTGAATCTCTGTACCTTCCTCTATCCCGATGACTCGTAAGTTTGGTTTTTTTATGTTATCCCATATCTCTTGGATGTTTTTCTCGTGATTTTTTACCAGCCTTTCTGAGTTGGCTAGACTCTTTTCAAGATGATATATTTTGTCTTCATTATCTGACGTTCTGGCTTGTACTTGCTCCACTCTGTTAGTGATAACTCTCAATTGAGTTTTTAATTTGGTTTATCGTTTCCTTCATTTGTAGAATTATTGCTTTTTTTTATAATCTCTATCTCCTGATAAAGATGCTTAACTTCTTCTTTTATCTGTTTATGTAATTCATTTTCAGTGTGTTCTTTCACTGTTTGGATTTGCTGTCTCGTATCCTCTTTAAGGTTCCATTCCATCTGTCTAAGGTATTCCTTGAGTTCTTTATATGACCATTTTTCTGATGACTCTAGGTCCTCCTGAATATTTAGGCTGTCCTTCATTGTTTGTACTCCTTTTCTTCCTTGCTTTTTTATGCTGCTCATGTTACTTCTTGTTCTGTTTGACTGCTGAGTTACTGTTTACTCTTATAAATTTATTTGATGCTTGGGAGGAAAGATATTAGAAGGGAAGGGAAGAAGTCACTAAAGAGAATGAGAGTAGGCAGGTAGAATTCAAGGAAGGGGGAATAAGAAAATTGAAAAGAAATGAAAAGACAAAAGAAAAAAAATAGAAAAGAAAGAAAGAAAAAAATTTTTTTAAAAAAATAATAGTCATAATAAAAATGAAAATTAAAATTTAAAATAATAATAATAATAATAAAATTAAAAAATTAAAAAACATTAAAAACATTATAAAAAGTTAAAGAACAACAACAACAACAAAGAAATGAAAATGAAAGAAAAAAAATAATAATAAATGCAGTCATAGTATTCGATTAACTTCTCTTCCAGTAGGTGTAGCTGTGCCCACTGGGCCAAGCTTCTCCTCTCAATAGGTGGGAACCAATCACTGTGCCGCAGCTCTTCCTCCCAGACTGGGCGGGTCTCCAATCCTGAGTGCCTAGGGCCTTCTCTTGTGTTTCCTCAAGCCAGGCCCTGCTCACCTGTGATGCTCACCACAATACTGGCTACATGCCAGGTCTGCTTCTCCTGGGAGCCCTGTTTTCATTAACGCCTGGGCACACTCTCCCTGTTTGCCTCCCTCAGACCCTAAGTTTGTAGAGCTTGGGGCTGAGAACTCCCAGCGAATTTGCTTGCCCTCTGGTAGCCACGCCCCCGGTAGCTGGTGCAAGAGACCTCAGTTGTCAGCATTGGTGGGAGCGGTAGCTGGGAGTTACGTGCCGCGAGTCCCGCGCCACTCCTGATTCCCTTGGTCTGGCTACCGCGCTCATGGGAGAGCTGGGAGGGGCCCTTACGGGAGAGCTGGGAGGGGCCCTTAAGGTTTCCCCGCTGTGTGGAAAGAGATGCCTAGGGGATTACACACCTGTCACGCTGGTTTCAATGAAGTTATCTCCTCCGCCCGTGACGTCAGTTCTCTGCCATGGTGGTATCCCATGCAAATGGTGACCGTTCGTTCCCTTTGCCGGGTGACCAATGCAACGGGTGGGTCCTGACTGTCTCTCCCAAGCCCCGTTTCAATCCTGTGGCCACTGCCTATGAAGGCTTGGTTGGCTTTTATCTCTGTAAGTTCAGAGGGGCCGACCAGTTATTTCAGCGGGATCGTTAGTTGCTGAGTCACGAGAAGCAGGTGAACTGGAGCTTGAATGCAGCCGATCCGGGCTCGGTGTGTGTTCTGAGGGGCCCAGACTGTTCGCCCCAGATCCATGTCAGCTCAGCATTGCCTAGTGATCCTGAGCAAACAGCATTTAGACAGTTTACGACTCCCTATGCCCGCGCAGCTGAAGAGGTCAGAGACTTGATCTCTCCGTGCCCGCCACCATGTTGGATCTCTCTGAACTCTTAGAAGAGTAGTTCTCAGGCCGAGGTCGAGGCGCTTGTCCAAAGTCCCACTTTTAACTCAGTGGTGGAAGGGCCTCTAGTGATTCTTCTTTAAACCACCCTGGGCAGTGTTCTCACGTGTTGCTTTGCCCACTGTCACCCAACACTAACAGGTAACCGGTGTCCCCAGCTCCTGCTGAGCACATGGCCCTGCCAAAATCAGATGACTCCTCCTCCAGCCATGGACACCTGGGCCAGCCTCATCCTCCTGGCAGAGGGCAAGGACTGGGTTTCCTCCTCCTAAATGGGACCCCATTTCAGCAGCATTACATGGTGAACTGTGTGTTGCACGTGCTTCCGGTTAGGGCACTTTACTGAGCCTGAGGTCCCGCACGTCCAGAGCAAGTTAGCACCAATTACCCCTGAACTCTCTCTCTGACAGTCCTCAGATCAGCCCTGGTGAAGATTCCGGAAGAAGGTCAGCTCAGACTTTTTGTGGATGAGGAGGCCACTGCGGCTCTCCTTGCGGGGGCTCCAGGGGAAACGTTCTGGGACGGCCACCAGGAGCGCTGTGCTGCAGGCCACGTGGGCAGGGTGGTCGGGCCTGGCATCCTCGCTGGGCACCCGGGGAGGTGGAGGGTCTTCCTCCCTGGAGAGCAGCAAAGATGGGATCATAAAGGGCTTTAGCCCCAGGCAGACGACAAAACACCGCTGGACCTCGGGTAGCACAGAGGAGCCCGCTTCTCCACCGGCAGGCGGACCCCTCTACCCCCACGGAATCATGTGGCACTGCGGGGCGAGAGGCTCTCAGCACTGAGGGATGCCTGCATGGGATCTATTTTTTATTTTATTTAGAGACAGGGTCTCGTTGCATTGCTTAGCACCTTGCTGTTGCTCAGGCTGGCTTTGAACTGGTGATCTTCCTGTTTCAGCCTCCCAAGCTGCTGGGATTACAGGTGTGCGCCACAACACATGGCCTCACTATCTTCTATTAGGCACTTGTTCTTGTGACATTCACCAAGGGAAAGTTGTTTTCCTAATATTTTCTAATATTTTAGTAGGAACATTTTTTTAAAGTTTTTCTTGTGTCACTTTCTGTGTAAATTCCCTGGTATTCTCTGGTTCATCATCAGTTCCTTAGTCTGTTTTGAGCTCACAGTAGATTTAAAAAAACAGGTAAATGGTGTTCTAGTAGATGAAAGATATCTAAGAAATTTTACTTTCCATGCTTATTTTAATAGGATTTTCAAAAGATTTAAAAAATATTTTTAGAAAAAGTTAACCAAAAGATTTTGTTTTGTTTTGTTTTAGAATTTCTGCGAGCGAGGAATGAAGAGTGTATCATTAAAGGATTTATGTCTGGAAGACAAAAGACGCATTGCAAACTTAATTAAAGAATTGGCCAGGTGAGGTTGGGGGACCTTCTATGAAATGCATTATTATATGAGAGACAGCTCTTTTTGAAAACAGAAAATTGCCAGTATGTTTTGATGTCATTATGTCATTGATCTTATAGAAGTAAAGACTTTTAATAAAAAGACTGTTATCCAAAATATCACCTCCTTTCAAGGACCTACCTCCAATGACCTAACTTCCTTCCCCTAGGCCCTACCTCTTTAAGGTTCCACCATCTTCCAGTAAGTAGCATCATGAGCTGGGACCAAACCTTTAACACATGAGACTTTCAAAGATGCTTAGCCAAACCAAAGCACATATTTTGGGAAAGATCCACTGGAACTATTCCAATATACTGTTTGCTCTGAAACTGACTTTCAGTAACATCTATCCATAGAACCATTGCCTGTTATAGCTATTACAGTGATCTTCTAATATTTACTCTATTTTCCATATTTGTTTCACATTAATTGGAATTCTTATTTAAGAATAAACTACCCTTTCTGCCCTAATTATTTATTTAGCTTAGTATTTATTTCATTTTTTTATTTTTATCAATATCAGAGGCATGAATATTTATTTTATTCTTATCCAAAATTCAGAAATAAAATGAAGTAGCAACATGATACTCTTTTGTTTCACACCAAAAAAAGACTTTGTTTTGAGATCATTATAGATTTACTTGGCAGTTTTTACAAATAATACAGACAGAACACATCCCTTTACCCTGTTATCAGCAGTGATATTTTGCTGAACTATAGTACAATATCCTACAACTTTACCCAGTTTTTGCCAGTGATAATATTTTTTAAAAATATTTTTTAGTTGTTGATGGACCTTTATTTTATTTATTTATATGTGGTGCTGAGAATCGAAACCAGTGCCTCACACATGCTAGGTAAGTGCTATACCACTGAGCCACAACCCCAGCCTGCCAGTGATAATATTTTGATTGACTATAGTATAGTATCAACATTGAAAGATTTCATTAATGTTTTACATATCTCATCAATTTTAAGTACTCATTGAATGTGCATTTGTTTTTATGAAACTTTATCACATGTGGATTTTTGTGTACAATCACTATACAAAACAGTCCTGCTACAAGGATTACTCTTGTTGTCTTTTTAATAAATACACTTACAAGGTCTTTTTAGACACTATTTTCCTTCTTAGCCCTTAACCTAATACCAAGCTACCACTAATCTTCTTTCCATCTATTCTAATTGTTACTTCAAAAAAGTTGTATAAATGGGATCATATAGTATGTAACTGTTTAAGATGGGATTTTTTCAATCATCATTCTCTTTACATCCATCCAAGTTGTTACATTTTCTAATACTTTGTTTCTTTTTATTGCTCTATGGTATTCCATAGTGTAGAGGTAGTACAGTTTGTTTAACTATTCACTTTTTGAAGAACATTTGGGTTGTGTCTAGTTTTTGACAGGTACAAACCAAGCTGCTCTGAACATTCATGTATAGGTTTTGTGTAAACATACAATTCTTTGGGATATTGTATCCTAAGTGCATGCTTGTAAGAAACTTCTGAACTACTTTCCGCAATGATTGTACCATTTCATATTCTCAGCAATGCAAGAGAGGTCGAGGTCCTCTGAATTCGCTAACAAATTTGTTGTGGTTAATTTTTATTTTAGCAAGTCTCATAGGTGCTTATTGCTAATATCTCATCTTGATTTTAATTTGCATTTATCTAATGGCCAGTGAGGTTGGACATTTTTACATATGCTTATTTCCACTGTATTTTTTCAGTGAAATGTCTGTTTATTCATTTTCTTTTTCTTACTGGATGTTTGGGCTTTTTTATTGTTGGGTTTTGAGGTTCTTTATATGTTACTTATCCTTTGTAGGCTATGTAGTTTCCAGTTATTTTTTTCTGGTCTGTAGCTTGCCTCTTCATCCTTTCCCAGGATAAACAAAAAGTCTTATAAAAACAAAAAGTTTATAAAACAAAAGTTTTTCATCTCAACTAGATCATTCTAACATTTTTTTTCTCTTTTAAGTTCATGATTCATTTTGAGTTAATTTTGCATACTGTGTGATGTCTAAGTTGAGTTTTTTTGTTTGTTTGTTTTAATATTGGGGATTGAACCCAGGGCCTTGCACATGCCAGATCAACATTCTACCACTGACTGAGCACATCCCCAGTCCTGTTGAAATTTTTTTGTGAATGTTTGCCAGATTTCAGCATGGGTCATGTTTGTGTGGTCTCTTCCTGGGTTCCTTGGTTTGCATTGATCTAGGTGTTTATCCCTTTTCCAATGATCTAATTACTGTACAGATGCAGAATAATAAACCTTAATACTGAGTAGAATGATGCCTTCTACTTTATGATTCTCTTCCAATTTTTTTTTTTAGTTTTTCTAGTGTTACTCTTTCCTGTAATAATTTTGGCATGACTTTGTCAAACTCTTTCATAACTCTGCTGATTTTTTAATATATATTACATCAAGCTATTGATCAGTTTTAGGAAGAAATGAAGTCTTTCCTATCTTGAGTCTTCTAATCCATGAATATGCTAGTCTCCAATTATTGAAGTTTTATATTCCTTTGTGACTTTCAGGATATAGGTCCTATACACATTTTTTTCACATTTACATCTAAATATTTAATTTTCTTTGGGGTAATTATAAATGGTATTATGGTTTTAATTTGGATTTTTATATATTTGTTCATAGTATATAGACGTGATTGAATTATATTTTAATCTTGATTTCTGAAACCCTGATGAATTCACATATTAATTCTAGTTTTGCTGTTATTCCTTGAGGTTCTTTTATGTCATAATTATTATTGTTATAAATTATGACATAATTATTATTTTTCATAATTATAATTAATGCAAATAGACACTTTTATTACTTTCTCTCCAAAGTATATGTCTGTAATTTCCTTTTCTTGACTTATGCTGCTGGCTAAGATTTCCAGTGCTATGTGAATAGGAATTATGAGAGGACATTCTTGTAATATTTATAAATTTAGGTGGGAATGCATTCAGTCTATCATCAAGTCTGAATTTAACTACTGTAGTTTTATAATTTGATAGTATATCAGATTGAAGAAGTTCCTTATCTATTCCTAGTTTTTTGTTTTTACTTTCTTTTTTTAAGAGTTGAGTGGATCCAAGATGGCATGCTAGAGGGAGGCTGTATTCTGTTTCACTCTGTGACCTGGGATTCTAGTAGTGGGAATACTGTTTCTCTGTAAGTTATTAGAAGAACCCCCACAGCTGCTCCCACGCAGGTCTCCAGACCTCAGCGTCAGCACAGAACTCCCAGAAGCTCACCCATTGGCCACCATGCCTGAGTAGAACCACTGGCATCAACACGTGCAAGGGACCCCTGGCTGCCCATCTGCACAGGAATCCTGGCTGCTGCTCCCGTATGGACCCCCATCTACCAAAATGGGACTTCCGGTAGCCTCCATCTTGGAACACTATAGCCACTATCATAGTCCCCTACACACACCTGGGGACACTGGACAGGGTCTGGAGACCACTGCCAGCCACACACTGCATGCCATAGAGCTGCATCTCTGAACACTCCCACGCAGCTGGCCCAACCTGACCCTATACCCCATCTGTGAAAGCACCCGCCTCCATCTTGGTATACCTTTGTCACCATGTATAGTTGGGGCAATTCCCAGCTTGGGACACCTGCTTGGGGCCTGGAAGCAATATCAAGGTACCTATAGTCCCCAACTCCGCCCTATCCCCCGCAGCCACTAACCTGGCACAGTGCTTATGGTACACAGCCAGTCCATAGATTGCAAAGCCTGGCCCTGAACTGCCCATTACTAAACAGCTCTCCGCCACAGGTGCACAGTCCTCAGAACACAGGCCATAAGACCTTCAGAGATAGAGGTTCCTGATTAGGAAGTAGAAAGAGAGAGGGTGAGTGAGATACAGTTTAGAGACTAAATTAGAGACCAGGAATTGTGAGGTCTACAGGCGATATAAGGAGATAAGACCAAGTCCCACATCATACTAGTGGGCCCCAAAGGAGATCCTTGGGGTGTAGTCTCCCATTAGGGACTAGCAAGTACTATATCCCACCTCCAGGAGCTCTGCCCCCAAGCCAAACCTCACACCCTAATAATCTTTACCATCCTGAGGGTGGAAATACCAGCAAACAACAGACAACCTCACCTGTTGGCTGAGAAGGGAAGCAGGAAAGATACTGAACTTCAACAAAAACAATCCTTGTATTTTCCTTCAAGATTGTTTTTTTTCTCTCTCTCTCTCTTTTTTTCCTTCCTTCTCCCACCTTCACATCCACAACATTTGTGAAACCAAGTACTTTTCATGAATCAGGCTACTAAGGACTGGGATGTCTGAATAGTATATTACTGTTGTATTGTATATTCTTTTCTCTCTTATTTTTACATTTTCTTAATTTTTATGTTTGCTTTTTGTACTCTCTCTATTGTCTTCCCATTTACATATCTCCCCCAAAATAATTTTCTCTTTTCTCCTGCTACTAGCCAACTTCTTTAGATTCTTCTCTCAAGCTTCCTAAGATCTAATAACTCTATATCCTTGCCTCATACCTCCTTAACCCCTCATTTTACATCCCACCCCTGGTTCTCTATTTGTCCACCATCAGAAACTATAGACCCTTTTGCAAACCTACTGCTTATATTGTAGATTGTGACAAAACCATAAATTTCTTAATAGCAGCTATTTGGTTTAAGGCTGTATATTATTTGTATTGGGATCTGTTAATATTGTTCCTCCCCCTTAAAGGAGAAGTATTGGAACCCTGCAGGGATACTATAGGGTAAAAACTGTAACACCTCAGATCCATAGTGCTAGAAGAGAAGACACATGAACAACATGAAAAAACAAGGTAAGAAAGTGCCCCAAACAAACCAAGATACTACATTATTAGAATTATGGCCAGCAAAGCAGAAGAAATTACAGAGAAGGAGTTCAGGATGTACATAAATAAAATGGTCTATGAATTAAAGGATGATATAAGAGCAAATACAGG